CCTCCCCCCCCCCCCGTCCTAGCGCTCTGTGTTTATGGGTGTTGCTTTGCTAACAGACCACCACGACTGCCTCGCATTTTCCTCCAGGAGATGCTCAAGTTTCTGTGAGCCTGGCACAGGGTTGCAGGCACTCCAGCCTCCTTGGCCCAGCAACCCCCCCCCCCAATTCATCTCAGCTTCCTGCTAAAGCGAAATGTAGCTGTCGTTTGCATAAAGCTCCCCTTTCCGGCTGCCAGGTCCTTCCCGCTCTGGGTTTTGGGGAAGGGAGGCCAAGCCGAGCCGGTTCCTAGGAAATGGGCTTCGAGTGTCAGGAAAGGAGCCCATGTTGCACTGCTTGCCATGCAAATCAGTGTTGGCTTTTCCCCAAGCCTCCTTCCTGCTCCTCCGCCCTCTTGAGATTGTTTGTGCCTTTCCCATCAACTCATATAATCCCTGGGAGCTCGTTTGCTCCAGCTGGGAAGGGGTGGGTGAGAAGGTCCGGCCAGTGGAGGAAACCCGCTGAGTCACGAAAGCAAAACTGCCGTGTCAGGCTGCCTCAGGCGGATTGTCATTGCAAGGAAGTGAAACAAAGAGATTGCAACAGGCAGGTCTCTCAAGGGCAGCGGACTTTGGCCCAAAGGCTGGGGCTTAAATGCTAGCTAGCTTATCCCTCCCCAGCTCTGAGCAGCTCGCTTGGATTTCATAAACTGCAGTGAGACTCTTATTTGCACTAGACTTTCTTCTCCACCCCTTCCCCCCCCCCGTGCCCCAACTAGTGCCCTCCCTATGTTTATATGTCCAGCATGTTCTCTAGGCTTAACCAGGCCCACACTGGAGCTCTCAGCAGTTTTTAAAAAGCTATTCTGAGGTGTTCCCTGACCTGGATGGCCCAGGCTAGCCTGATCTCGTCAGATCTCAGAAGCTAAGCAGGGTTGGCCCTGGTTAGTATTTTGATGGGAGACTGCCAAGGAAGTCCAGGATTGCGATTTAGAGGCTCAGAGGGTTAAGACGCTGAACTGCAGACTGGAAGGTCGGTAGCTTAGCGGTTCAAGACCCGAGTTTGCCGCATGACGGAGTGAGCTCCCGTCTCTGGCCCCAGCTCCTGCCAACCTAGCAGTTCGAAAGCAAGACATTGCAAGTAGATAAATAGGTACCGCTTCGATGGGAAGGTAACAGCGTTCCGTGCGCCTCGGCGTCTAGTCATGCCGGCCACATGACCACGGAGAAGTCTTCGGACAGCGCTGGCTCTTCGTCTTGGAAACGGAGATGAACACCTTCAGGGATTTTTTTTTAATTCTCCCCCCAAAAATTGGGAAGCCAAAATATACCCAAAAAATACTGATAAAGTGTTTTTCGGATATGTTTCCGCTTCAGGTAGACCCGAATGCACACTCCTATGTGGAACCCAAGGCCAACAGAGAATCTCCAGCACTGCCCATGTTGTTCGCTTGCAATATAGAACTGCAAAGCCTTTCCCTCCTCTTTTTACGCTGTCCAAAGATGCTGGCACTTGGTGTTCCCAAGAGCTGTTTTGACTGACTTCATCAACCATTAACTAGGCTACAAGAACTTTTAATGGGCCTCTTCTTAGAAAGCACACAAGCAAGAGCCCCATTTCAGGGAAGTGTCCAGCAGAGACTACCAAGGTGCTGTTTACTAATTGAAGCTTGCAATTACTGGTCTTTTAGGTAGCTGGTTGGAACCTGAGCAGCTTTTAAATGCTAGCTAGCTTTGGGAGTGGTTTTTTGTTTTGTTTTTTAAACCATCCATTGCAGGGCCACTTCTCCCCTCCTGGCAGACCATTTGCGCCTGCAGATTACAAGGGGGGGGGGGAACCTCCGGGCATATAAACTGACCTTTCTAGGTTGAATTGTGAAAGGGTGAGATGCAAAACGTCCCCCTTGACAGATGACTTACAAAGGCGATTCCTGCCCCAGCTCTGCTTTCTGATCTTTTGGGAGTCTCTCTCGTCACACTGAAATGAACACGCACGCACATACACATTTTTTTCCCCAGTGTCGTTTTTTGTGCTGCAGAGGATGGGGGGGGGATGAAAACTTATTTTTATTGATAACTTGTGAAATACGCATTGCAGCTTACCTGCTCCTCACCCCCAGCCGCCTTGTTTGTCCCACAGTGGGAAGCTGTAGTTCAAGAGCCAATTTATGGAACGTACAATAACCAGGCATTGGGCCATCCCTGTCTAAAGTATAGAGCAATTGCAGCCATGCAGATCCCCACCCCACCCTCCATTTCTGTGTCTTTGGGGTGGGAATGCATGAAACTACCTGCTCCAGATGCAAATCGTTCTGGTGACCAGAGCGGCAGAATCTGGTATCTGTCTCTTTCTTCCTGCTCTATGATTTTGTTCCACAGTCTCAGAGCAGAGTCTGAGCAAAGAGCCAGTTTGGTGTAGTGGTTAAGTGCGCCTTGGGCAAGCCATATTTCTGTCAGAGCTGTCCTCTCAAGGGCAGTTTCTCTCAGAGCTCTCTCAGCCCCGCCTACCTCACAGGGTGTCTGTTGTGGGGAGGAGAAGGGAAAGGAGATGGTAAGCCGCTCTGAGACTCCAAGTGAAGGGTGGGGCATAAACCCAATCTCCTCCTCCTCCTCTACTTCTTCTTCTTCTTCCCCCCACTGTGTGACTGCCGTTCTGGTGCCCGCTCAGCGCTTGAACTGACCAGGAAGCTGAGGGACCTGGATAGAAAACGTCTTCAGTCATGTTGGAACTGTTGGTTCTCCGTGAGCTTCGCAAATCACGAGCAGATAAGAGGACCGGTCTTGGTTTCATGCGGGGTTATGACTGGGATCCCTTAGCCCCATAGTAACCCTTTTTGTCCTGCCCTTGGACTGCATTTAGAGAGGGACACTCATCCAGAAAAAGAGTTGAAATCAATGGGATTCTTCATGGCAGGATTCTCCAGCAAAGGCCACACTGTTTGATGCTGAACACATGGGTGGGCTTCTTGGATAAGTTTGATGGTGAGCTGTTTCGAACATAGAAAAGGATACAGTTTAAAAAATAAATAAAAGGCAATTCAGTGGTGGATGGGCTCGGCCTGTAGAAGGTCCCAGGTTGATCCCCCCGGGGTGCCTGGTGTTAGAAATGATCTCTCTCTCCCCAGGACCTTGGAGAGTGACTGCCAGTCGAGGAGACAGCAGCCTTGAGCTTGAGGGACAAGCAGGTGCTGGTCGGCACGTGGCTGAGTCACAAGAGTTGAAAAAAGGAAGAACTTGGCGTTTCTCACTAACAGGATTGTCAGCAGGACGGTCGCTATGCTTTGAAAGTCAAGTGCCCTGCCCTTGGTTGTGTATCGGCTGGCTCTATCCTGGGGAAGGCCAAGAGGAGCACTAGTTCAAAGCTTGCAGTGGTCAAAGGAGGGAGTTTTGGTGGCTTTCAGCTGCTGTTCCTTTATGGCTGACTAGAAAGAAGGCCCGTTGCGGAGACAAATGCAAGGAGCTCTAGCTGGGCTGCCAGCCCCCCCCCCCCCGAGAAGAAGGGGCAGCGGCAGCCTCGTCCCCCGGGCCCAGCGGCAGGTAGAGCACAGCCGCTCCACCAGTGCCTGCATCCTGGCTCCCGCCGCCAGGGTCGGACAGGAGGAGGGTCTTGGCGCGGCAGCGGGCCTGCATCAGGGAGCCCTCTCGGTGTGTTGGGCGGTGGCACTGGTGGTGGCGGCAGGGCTGCCGGCGGAGGGGCAGCCTCTTGCCGCAGCAGCAGTCGCCGCCCTGCCACCACCTCGACTGTGGCATTTCTGAATGTGTGTGGGCTCTTGCGCCTCTCCCAGTGGGCCTGCTCACCCTCCGGCCAGCGGAGCACCCATCCCCTCGGCTGGCTCAGGGCATAGTGAGCCAGAGACACTGCCGGCCGGTTCGCCGCCTCTGTGGGCAGGACGGAGGCAAGGGAGCCAGCCAGTGCAGCCAGGGGATCCTTCAGAGTGGCAGGTGCGAGAGCGAAAGGCTGCTGGAGTGTGTGCCGGAGGGACACCAAAACTCTTTTATATATAGGAGGAGATGCTACCCCCCCCCGAGTCTTCATTCAACGAACTTGGCTTTCCCAGGCCTCTTCCTGTCTCAGTGCCTTTCTGCCAGTGGCATCGTTTCCCCCCCCCCCCTTT